GCACACATATACACACACACATAAGGCATATACCATATACATTTAAACAGTTTTCTTTCTCTGTCACAACCTACACCGCACATTGTAATCATCATTAATATTTAACATCTCATGTCATTTTGTAAATGTCATAAGATAAAAACTTGAAATTAATATCAGAAAAATGTTATGAAACTACTTTAGTTACAAAATATAGAAGGCTTTTTTTTCAAGTTTTTATGGCTTTGCAAGGCAGATATGTCTTACAATGCCTGTAATCTTAACATTGTACATATTTTAATCAATAACATTTTTTTCTTTCTTCATAGTACAACAAATAATAGCATGCACTACAATAAAGTCAGTTATTATGGTAATTTTTCCAGATAACAATATTATGTACCCAGAAAACAATAAAATATAATAGGAAACTAAGAGACATAATGAGAAAATTTGGTCATTTAAATCAATAAAAGATACAGGTAAAAGTCAATTAATGATATTTGTAGTAGCAACAGCACCTTCAAACCAAAGCTATTAATATGACTGCTAAGGCATAACTTACACTATGGCTATAACATATTATATCAAATAATATCAATTTGCTCACCTTTAATCTTTTAATTTAACACAACTCCAGGGGGAATCAGCATTTAAATTTTTATAATAGCACAAATTATCTCTAAGCTAATATGGAAGAATGAAATCTCATGAATACACATCAGTTAACATTTGAGATAAAAAAAAGTTCCGGAGACCAATAGTGGTAATGGTTACACAATATTTGAAGGTGTTTAATGCCTGTAAATTGTACACTTAAAACTGGTTAAAATAATAAATCATAAATGTTATGTTATGTATATGTTATCATAATAAAAATAGAACAATAAATATTCCTGAATTAGGACTTGCTTTATACAATATCAAAACATATGGGCCAATGAAATTAAATTAATATGGTACTGGCATAAGACAAGATAAAATGATCAGTAGAACAATTTAGATTATGAAAGTATAGAATAGTAAGTAACCTTAATTTTTATATCTGGATTTTTTGTTATATAAAAGTAGAGAAATTTCAGTTCAGTATTAAATGATGGATTATTGAATAATTACTTTTCAGTCACAAAAATGACATCTTATAAAAAATTTTACCTTTTATTCATACAATGAAAAGGTAACATTGTAAGTGGCATAAATTTTTAATTAAAAAAATAATTAAAGTGCACTTGAATATATATGACATCACACATAAAGGAGTCAAAAAATTAATTAAGATTTTTAATTTTAGGCTTGCCGCGGTGGCTCACGCTATAATCCTAGACCTCCAGGGAGGCCGAGGGCGGCCGGATCCCTCGAGGTAGGAGTAATCGAAACCCAGCCTGAAGCAGAAGCGAGGACCAGTTTCGTCTGACTATAAATAGAAAAGAAATTAATTGGCCAAACTAATATATAGTACGTGAAAATTAGCGGCGCATGGTGGGCGCATGCCTGTAGTCCCAGCCTACCCAGGAGGCTGAGGCCAGCAGGATTGGCTTGAGGCCCAGGAGTTTGAAGTTGCTGTGAGGCTAGGCTAGCAGCAGCAATCCACTTCTAGCCTGGGCAACCAAACTATCCGACTCTTCTCAAAAAAAAAAAAAAAATTTAATTTTAATTAATCCAGAAGTGACACACACATGTCATTTATTCCATCCACTGCAAGATTTAGATCAAAAATATGATTAATAACACTTGGGTAATGCCGCTCCACGGGGCCGGGGACATTGTCACGGCAGCCAACCTCCATAGTCTGCAGGATAGTTTCGTGCTCGGCATTGACAACAAATCCTTTGCCTTGTGGTTGAGGAAAGTAGCACAGGACTTTTTATCTTACGCCACTGAGTATCAGAATAGAGTACATTCATATTGTTTCACAATTTTATTTCAGCATATTAATGGGGAGAAGAGGGAGAGGTAACAGATTTTAAGGTTTCAATAATGCCATTTCCCACACCCCGTTTCCCCCAGCATGCCCTTTCCAGGATGGTGCACATCTCCACTCATTATTATGTATATACACGCCCCTCTCACCCACCCACACCCTGCCCAATACCTAATACTCCTACTACGTTCTTTCTCTTAGTGCTCTCAGTTATACACAAAATGCAAGTGAGTATAAGTGGTGACAAATACACATATATCCTTGGGAAGCTTCACTTAAGGTTCCAGCTCCTAACCAGGATATAGGTGATGCTATATCCGTTGTTTCCTTTAACACACTCCTGTATACAATAACCACATTTTATTAATATTCCTTGGATTGATGGCACTGTTATACCCCCATTTTTTAGCAATTATGAATTGTGCTGCTATAAACATCCGAGTGCAGGTGTCTTTTTGAGAGTCAAGGGGTCTTTGGGTAGATCCCAGCAATGGGATCAGATCAAAGATAGACTTGACTTTGTATCCGCTTACAGGTATTCCATAATTGCGCTTATCCACCCAAGGTTGAATAGACACCCACACAGCTGTAGGAGTTTCCTCTTCTCGCATCCCAGCCAGCATTACAGAGACTTTATTTACCATAAACATCTCACAAAGCCTCACCTGAGTCAAGTGATATCTCCATTGTGTTTTGATTGCATTTCCCTGATGATTAGAAGATGGTTGAAGCATTTTTTCCATTGTTGTTGGCATTCTGTCTTCCTTTAGAACAAGGTTCTGTTCAAAGTCCTTTTGCCCCACCCTTTAATAGAGTTACTATGATTTTTTTCCTTGCGCTGAATTTCGTGAGTTCTAAGTATATTCTAGTTATCAGTCCCTAATCGGATGCGTAGGATGCAAAAATTTTCTCATTCTGTAGGTTGTCTGTTATACCTTTCATGACTATTGTCTTTGGCTGTGCAGAAGCTTTGTAGTTTGATCATGTCCCAATTTTTTATTTTTGTGTGCTGCGTGATTGCCTTTGGACTCTTCCATAAACTCTGCCTAGGCCCCCGATGTCAGAGAGGTTTCCAAATTTCTTCTCCCTAGAAATTCTAATATTTCACTACCCTTAGGTTTAAGTCTGTACTCCAGTGGAGTTTGATTTTGTTGAGAGCGTTGAAAGGGTGGGTCCTGTTTTTAGCCTTCTAATTCACGGTGCTATCCAGTTTCCAGCACATTTATTGAAAAAGCGCAGGATTCTTTCCCGCAGGCGTATGTTTTTGTCTGCTTTGTCAAAGATTGAGATGGGGCTATAGAGGAATGGTTTTACATCGGAATTCTCACCATCTGTTCCACAGGTCACATATTCCTATCTTGTGCCAAATACCATCATTGATTTAATACCAGCTTTGAAGTATAGTTTGATATCTGGCATATTAATGCCTCCCATTTTGTTTTTGTTGCCTAGAATTACTTTTGATATTTGGGGTCTTCTTAGGTTCCATATGAGGCATAAAATTATTTTTTCTATATGTGTGAAGTATGCTGATGGAATTTTAATAGGTATTGCATTGAATTTGTAGATCAGTTTGGGTAGTATAGATATTTTGATGATGTTGAGTCTGCCAATCCACGAGCATGGTATGGATTTCCATCTACTTATATCCTCTGCTATTTCCTTCCTCAGTGTTTCATAGTTCTCCCTGTAGAGGTCTTTCACCTCCTTGGTTAAGTATAGTCCTAGGTACTTTAATTTCTTTGTTGCTATTGTGAGGGGAATTGAGTCTTTGATTTGGTTCTCAATTAGATTGTTATTGGCGTATATGAATGCCTCTGATTACTGTGTATTGATTTTATATCCTGAGACTTTACTAAATTCATTGATCAGTTCCAGGAGTGTCTTGGTTGAATCTTTGGGGTTTTCTAGATATAATATGATATCATCAGCAAACATTGAAACTTTGATCTCTTCTGCCTATATTTGGATACCTTTAATTCCATTTTCCTGTCTGATTGCTGTAGCCAAGACTTCCAGCACTATGTTGAACAGAAGTGGAGATAGTGGGCAGCCTTCTCTGGTTCCAGTTCTAAGTGGGAATGATTTCAATTTTTCCCCATTCAGTATGATGTTGGCTATGGGTCTGTCATATATGGCTTGTGTCATTTTTAGGTATGTCCCTTCTATGCCTATTTTCCTAAGTGTTACTTTCATGAAAGGGTGTAGAATTTTGTCAAAAGCTTTTTCTGCATCTATTGAA